GAAAGGCATAAAAATGCATGGAAAGTTTCCATGTATTTTTTATGTTGTTCATGTTGTTCTTAAAATAAGCTATGTAGTATAATTTTTACTACTTTTTAATAAGTTGCTAATTTTATTTCTTTAGAATTTAAATTTTGTGAAAAGTTATTTTTCAGTATTAATATCTTTGACATCTTGCAAATTTTTTATAGAGTTTTTTTTTACGGGAATAGATTTAAGTAAGCTTTTAGAGATTTAGGGTTTAGATTTAAGTTTAATTTAATTATTAGTCAAAGTTTTATAGGGTCACATTGGTCTAAATATTGATTGATAGATTCATTAATATTTTCATCTTTTTTAATCATAAGCTTCCAGTTGATTTTTGAAATTTCAAAAATAAATTTGTTAGGGTCAAATTTTTTAAGACATCGTCTAGAAATTTTAACTTTATTTGGTTGGCTGGATGTGCCAGGAACAAAGTTGTGCTGTGTGATCTGAGGTAGAAATAGTTAAGTTACCTAAGAGATGATCAGAAGAGTAGAAGTTCATAAAAATGTTATCAATGAGTGTTTGAGATTTAGCTGTAATACGAATAGGTAGGATTATGGAAGCATTAAACGAGTAAAAACATAAGGTATCAAGGTAGTTGGAAGATTAGATTCACTATTGCTCAGTAAACCTGCATTGAAATCATCCATTAAAAAGATCAATTTTTGTTCTTTGCTTAACTTTTCAAGAAGATGAGTTAAAAATTTTGTATTGAATTCACTTTAATTCATTAATGGATGACAGTATATACAACCAATTAGGGAATTTGTTTTGTGGGGCTTAATGATTTCAACAAAAACAGACTCAAGTAATTTTGGTCAGCAAATCTTTAAGTCATGACGAACTACATAATTTAAATTAAACTGCAGATATAAAAGAGCACCACCCTTTTTGGCCTCAGTGGAGCAATGCTCAATATTGAATCCATCAATCTCAATATTGAATCCAATCTCAATGCTCAATATTGAATCCATCAATCTCAATATTGAATCCAATCTCAATGCTCAATATTGAATCCATCAATCTCAATATTGAATCCAATCTCAATGCTCAATGTTGAATCCATTAATAGTTATGTCTGTTGTTATCATTAAGGTGTAAGTTGGATTCAGTAAACCTTATTGCCATAGACATTATATTTAATGGGCAGATAGGACGGCACAGTTTATCAATGTGGTATGAAAGTGATGCAATGTTAAGGTGAAGATATAGATCTGAATTAGGTTTGGTAGCTATATTAAATTCAATAACATCATAGAATTTACAATTTATAGCAGAATTAGAGATTGTATTAAGTTCTCTAAGTATATTTCTGGAATGAATTGGAGATACAAGAAAATTTGATGATACAGTTTGTGGATTTTTGCATGATAATGTTGTTAAGAGCTCATTATCAGTAAACAAACCAAATGGCATGTTTTTAGATATAAAGTTGAAACAATACCATTCTGAAGAATCTTGAGTGAGAAGATTATAAGTGAGCAAATCTATTTGGTTGCACTTAGCATAAACCCATGAACTGCAGCAGCCACAAAAGGTGGCTTCGTAGTTATCTGTTACAATTTTGAAACAAAATATGCAGAGTATTTTATTTTTCATAACTTGATAGGCAGAATGTTATTACAATGCTTATAAAAATGGAGATTGTAATAATATGTCTAACTACCGTCCAATATCCCTCTTACCAGTGTTCTCTAAAGTTTATAAAAAAGTAATATACAATCGAATTTATAATTACTTGAAGTTAAACAAACTTTTATATGAAAATCAATTTGGTTTTCAAAAAAGATGCTCAACAGAACATCCTCTCATTGAACTTACTAATAAAATATTTCAATTTTTTGATAAAGGGGATCATGTATTGGGAGTATTTATAGACCTTACAAAAGCATTTGATGCCGTTGACCACAACATCTTACTATCAAAATTAAAACATTATGGTATCAAAGGACTAATGTATAAATGGGTAAAAAACTATCTGAGTAACAGAAAGCAGTTTGTAATAAACAAAGACTCAAGTGTTCTTGATATTGAGTGTGGGGCTCCTCAAGGCTCAATCTTAGGACCGTTATTGTTTTTAATTTACATCAATGATATGCATAAAGCATCATCTATAGTATCTTCAATAATATATGCTGATGACACAACTTTATAGTCATAGTAATTTAAAATTGATGTTTGAAACAATGAATACTAAACTGGAAAACTTTAATTTATGGTTTATAGCAAATAAACTATCCTTAAACTGTGAAAAAACCAACTACATCTTATTTCATAAAACAGGTCAATCAATGTCTCTACCGTTAAAAATTCCAGAATTGCTCGTTAACAACATAACAATAAAACGGGAAAAATATGCAAAGCTTCTTGGTGTTCATATTGATGAAAATTTATCATGGAGAAATCATATTGGACACATTGAAACAAAAAAATCATTTGCAATAGGTATTTTATATAAATGTTGCCCGTTTCTTGATTTCTGTTCAAGAAAAAAACTTTACTTTAGTCTAATTCACAGTCATCTCAATTATGCTAATATAGTGTGGGCTAATACACACAAAACAAAATTAATCAAACTACAAGGCTTGCAAAACCATGCTTGTAAAGCAATTCATTATCTAGGTCGAATGGACATTCCTTCCAATGCGACTTGGAAAAACTTAATTTATATCAGATTCTTATTTTTATGTTCAAATATAAAAATAATATGCTACCAAATTCTTTTTTAGACATATTCTCGTCATCATTTTCTCAAAGTTATAATCTGCGATCAAATAGCTTCCATAACTATTATTTAAAAAAAACTAAAACCCGGGGTTCTGAATTTTCAATTATGTCACAGGGTCCCAAAATATGGAAAAACTTGAAAAATCAAAAATTAAAAGACTTAATTGGAATATCGTCGTTTAAATGGCAAGCAAAGCTGCATATTCTTAGTTTGTAAAAAAAACAAAAAATAAAAAATGCTGAATCTTCTTTGATTTCCTTATTTTAAGTATTAAAGTATAGAAAAAGATAAACATATATATAATAGTTATTATACCAGAATTTATATTAAGTTTGCATCAATTCGATATTAATGTATCAAAGTTATATTAATATATTTTTATCAATCTGATACGTAATAATTTTATATATACTTTTTCTTTTTATCACGATAATAAATGTATATTTTATATGGTATACCTGGAGAAGAAAAAAAAAAAAAAAAAAAAAAAAATATTTTATTATTGATAAGCACAGAGGCTAATGAAACAACTTAGTAGGTGATAATTAAAAAAAAAAATCAAAAGCTTGCATGAATAAATAATATTAAAAACGTATTCTAATTGATTCACTAAAATAAATTACGAATTTAATGTAGAAAGTCACTGAAAAAAAGTTACTCAAAAACTCATTAAGTTTTATTTGCTTAAATTTGCCCAAAACGAAACTTACAAAAAAAATTAAAAAAAATGTCATTAGTTCAATTGTTCTTGTCCGGACAAGAACGATTGAACTAATGACGTTCTTTTTTTTTTTTTTTTTTTTGTGTATGTTTCGTATTAAGCATTAGTTGAACAAGTTGAAATGTGTCAATTACATCAATAGAAACCAGGTAACGAAAACGACATCCTAGTTTGTTACCTGGTTTTTACTGATGTAATTGACACATTTCAACTAATTTACACGAAAGGGCTCAACAAGTGCAAAAAAATAAATAAATAAAGTTTTACCATCTTTAATCATCACTAATTTCATAAAAAAAAATTTTTGATTGCATCTAAGAGAGGACATACACAATAAAAGCATTTTTTAAAAAAAATAAATACAAAGAATATATTTTAAATACACTTTTTTTTAAAGACCTATTAATGTATATTTTAAGCTCTTTAAAATTATTTTTTCATTACCAAAAGATAGCGGCAAACCTAAAATTGAAGAAGCTTTGAAAAAAACTTTTAACAAACTTCAGTTTTAACACTATAAAAACAAAGTAGTACTTGCGCAAAGCGAGTTGTTTTCTAGACAAAAGAATTGAGCTTAATTATAGATTCTACAGGGTTAAACGTCAGCCGTGCCCTAAAAAAAATATGCGGATAAGATAGACTTTTTAATCATTACCGCCAAAAAACGTTTCATAACGCCTTTTTTCATTTTCGTCATATATCCAGTTTTGAGGCATTTTTACCCCACTGCACATTGCTGAAACTAGGTTCTATTTTTTTTCCCTCAGAAGTCGATATATTTATTCAAATCAATTTACATAATTTTTAAATTTATTTTTTATTTTAAATTAAGTTTAAATTATTTTAAATCAAAAATTCAGATTCTTGCTTCTAGAGCGTCTATCTTAAAATCAACACCGATTTCATACTCATTTTTTCTAGTCCACGGTGTTCTTGAACCTCTTAAACAAAGAATAGTTGGGCTAAATATCTGGAAAGATAACTTTGTTCTAAACTACGACAATTGAATATTTTATATTAGGTTCAACTTCAATTTGAAAAATCGTTTAATTCATTTTCTTTTTGCGGATACGCTGTATATGCCTAGGCCAAACATCAAGACTATTGGAGCCAACAACAAAAGGCTTCCAATACGAATAAGCCAGATTCATAGGATAAATAAAATTACATTATTGTACATACTGATATTATTTGCCAAAACTAGAAACAACTTGGTGATTATCGTGGTTTTTTTATGTTTAACAACTTGGTGATTATCGTGGTTTTAATATGTTTAACAACTTGGTGATTATCGTGGTTTTTTTATGTTTAACAACTTGGTGATTATCGTGGTTTTTTATGTTTAACACTTTTTAGCGCTATAGTTAAATAAACAGTAATTAACACTCAACGCAAAAAAACTAAGCATTTTTTCGAATTGAAACAAATATTTAAAACAACTTTAAGGGCTTCTTATGTAACATTTTTAAGGCTACTTTCTGAAACATAATTTTTTTTTAAAAGTAGATATAAAAAATAGAGCTATTTACTATTTATATTTCTATACTGATATTAAAATATACAATCATTCAAACCATTTTTTTTTTGCACTTTGCTCGCTATCATTAAGGATTATTTTATTCTTGTATTTATTAACAAGAGCATTAAACTTATCTTCGTCGGTCTGATAAGTTTTTTTCACAACCGTTTCCTTTATGTTCGGACGAGGTTTTTTAACATGGAATTTTAAATTTTCTTCGTCGTTTCGCCGTTTTTCACCAGGTCGTTCTGGTTTTTTAACATCTAACTTTTCTCGTTCTTTGCGAGGTGGATTTTTATGTAACACGATATTTGTTTCGTTTTTAATTTCGCTCATATTTCTTTTTCGTTGCTTAATCTTTTTGTTGCTTTTATTATTTAGTAGGTCCGCTACATCTTTTTTAGGTAAGCTAGCATTAGACTTTGTAAATAATTTTTCATCGTTTTCTGGTAAAGTTGACTTACTTTCGCTTAATCCACTTTTCATTTTCTCTAAACGTTTTGCTTCTCTTTTACGATGATACCTTTCAATGCGTTTGTATTTTTTTTCGCGCTGCTTCTGACGTTCAGATTTTTTATTAATTTGACTGTCTTCAGTTTTACTTTGCATTTCCGCTATCTTTTTCTGCTTTAACTCTTGAATTTTTATAGCTTTTGCATTCTCAATAGCAAATTCGACTATAGGGCGACGATTTTTGCCAAACAAATCCGGATTATTATTTGTCGCTCGAAGAATTGCGAGAGCGTGTTCATGAACACCGACTTCTAAGAATCCAAATCCAAGTGATCGAGGCATTCCTTTACTGTCTTTACGGTCTTTACTTGTCATAATTTTTACATTATTTATTTTAATGTCGTCATTTTTTACAGCTTTAAGAAAAGCATCTTTAAGTTCTATTGAGCTGATGTTTAGAGGTAGGTTTCGCACACTTAACCTAAATTCAATTAATTTATAACTTAATATCAAATATAATAATTGTTAATATTAAAAATTATCAAATATAATATTTGTTATCAAAAAAATATTAATAAAACTTTTAATATTATATTAAATAAAAGTTTTATTTTTGTTAACTAATATTACCTACAATCCTCTGCACTAATTTACAAAGTCTAGAGTCAAATAAAACAAACACAAAAGAAACATGGTTTTCAAATAATTTTTTAAATCGGAAGTCTATAAGTAAATCAGAATAATAAAGATGGGAGAATAGCTGTTGGGTGTTTAGTGTCTGGTATTGATCACTGATAAATGTCTAATTACTTGGCAAATTTTTGTAATAATGAAATTCAAGTTTTAATTTTACTTTTCTTTTAAAAAAATACTAAAACCAAAAGATAATTTTTTTAATGATTTATTTTAGAAATTTAACTTATTTGTTTGAGACTGATTGACCTCATAAGTGATTGTCGTTGCTCGTTCATGTGCAAGCAACAGCTCAGCAAAAGTATTAGCCATATAGTAAGAAACATTGAAATATATACGCTTTACACATTAAATTTATTTAGCTTTCCACTAAACCTAATTAAACCGAAACCAAGATTAACTTTGCACCAAGACCTCACCGCAAGCATTTTAAGTGACCTCTATTCTCCCATCTTGACTCTGATATTAACTAACCTAGTTCTAGAAACAAAATAGTTTGGGTTTTTTAATTTCGCTTTTTTTTCAATCAAAGCTTTCTCTCTTTTCTTTAGATCAGCATCCGAAAGACCTTCGGCTGCCGGTGAGTTTCTTGTAATCATACCTTCATAAGCTAAGTACAAGTTCCTTTTATCTGTTTCTTTCTTTGCATCCATTTTTTCCCGAACTATCTCGTTTACTTTACCTTTTGTAACAGCAAGCGATACAACAAGAGCACGTCCGTCAATAGAAACGCTATTTTGGTTTTCACCACTTGTCTCTTTTACACATGCTTCTGCTGATTCAACTTCTTTAAATTTTACAAATGCTGATCCTCTAGAACTTCCAGTTTGTTGGTCAACAACAAGTTTGCAATATTCAATTTCACCAAACTTTTCAAATTCTTCTTCAATTTCTTCTTCATTTGTGTTGTATGACAAATTACGTATGAAAACAGTTTTGCCTAAAATTGAAAAAAAAAGACCCCATATATGAAGTTAGTTTTATCTCTTTTTATTTACTTTAAAGAAAAAACAATAATTAGATAAACCTTCTTTTGCATCCTTGAGCTGTTTTTTAGGTAAGATTTTTTCTTCAACTAAAATATATAACTTTTGATATCGTAAACGTGTGAAAAATTAAAAAAAAAATAAAAAAAAAACTTCTTTAAAATACATTCGTCATCATCATCATTATCATCATCATCATCTTTGTATAAATCATCACTATCTTCATTGTTTGAATCATCATGAAAGTCTTCATTGTTTGAATCATCATGAAATCCTTCATCTATAATGAAAATATAAAGATGCTTTTTTTTCCCTTAAGTTTCAAAAAAAATGTTTCACAATTTTACTATCAAAATAACTTTTTATTTGTGAAAATTTAATTTTATTTTAATATATTATTATATTATATTATTATTGGCCTGGCTAATAATATATGGCTAACAAAATGATAGAATATTGTTTTTTTGTTGTACAAAATATAGAATTTTAACAAGTCATTTATGAATTAAAACTACCATCATTCTGCATAGAATTATCATCTTCCTGGTTTTCCTCTTTTTCAACACTATCTTCGAAATCTTCTATGAGTTTTTTGCTAGATTTTAAACCTTTTTTAGGTTTTTCTTCATTTTCTTGATTTTGAGAAATGTTTTCATTTGTGTTTGGTAATACTTCTAAAATATTTAAATAACATAACTTAAATAACATCTTTTTCTTATGGACATATTTACTAAACAACCGAGGTCAATATTTGACCGGAGCTGGGTATGATAAAATTTAAAATAATTAAAATAGATTTATACTTATTTTTAAGTACAAGAACAGATTAAACAAAAAAGCTTTTCACATAGGAAACTTTATTATTTTTCAAAGTTGACAAACATTACAATGAAGTCAATAAAAACCATGATCTATTATACTTTTTAATGTTTTTACTTTTTAAATTTATTTAGTACCATTACTTTGGTTTACCCACTTTTCAAGTATGGTTTAATTATGTAAATTTTTATGATATAAAACTTTATTAATCATTAATCAACAGTTAGGGAAAAACTTTTAAAAGAAGTTTTAAAAACAGTTTTAGGAAAAACTGAAATTCTACAAAACTATTAATATTGTTTACACAAAGTTATTAATATTGGTTAATATCAATCAATCAATCAATCAATATATTTTCTGAAATATTTGGTATTACGTTTCAAGGTTGCTTACAAATAGTATAAACTACTAATATTAAGTAAACACCTAATAACAATGAATAAAATAGTTATAGTAATAATAATAAAAATATTTATAATAAAATAATGATAAATAATAATAATAATAACAATAATAATAAATAATAATAATAATAACATGTTACTTTAAAAATAGTAATATTAATAATATAGTAATTAATATAAATAATATAGCAATTTAAATAAATAGGTATAACTTTCTATACAACAATCGCTTATACATACAAAGTTACAGTTACAAACAGTAATAAACTGACAAAACGTAACAACTAACGATGACATAAAAACTATTGCTAAAAAAAATTATAATGATTTAGTAAATTAATCATAGCTCTTATAATATCATTACCAGTGGCGGATTAAGATTTCTTGGGGCCCGGGGCTATTTTTGTTTTTGGAGGCCTTTTTATTGGCCAGAGCCTAAAAATGACTAAAAAAAAAAAAGGTCCTCTAAAATTTTTGGGGGCCCCTAAATTTGCCCCCCCCCCCCATGATCCGGCACTGATCATAACCAAAATATATTGCAAATAATAAATAAATAAATATGTAAGCAGAAACTAATTAAATAAAATGTAAACAGAAAAACACTTAAAAAATCAAAACAAAACAAAAGATACAACAAGCATTAAGAACAAAACAAAAAATTCCATTAAATATTTGTTACAACAAAAAAACAATAAAAAAACAACAACATAAAATAAAAACTAAAAACAACAACAAACAAAGAAGAAAAATATATAATATTACATGGTAGAATAAAACATATATGATAAATAGCTAAAATGAAAATAAAAACAAATAATATATAACTGTATAAAAAATTATATATCACTATTTAAAAATAATTAATAACTAAAAAATAAAACAATAAATGACTAACAAAATATATAAAGTAAAACTTAATACGTTAAAAACTAAAGAAAAAACATTACAACAAGACCGCATAACAGCAAAACTAAAAAATAAATCGTAAATAAAGAATCCTAAGAAATATATGAAATAAACCTAAAGAAATATATGAAAAAATAAAAAAATCTTGATTTGCCAATCTTTTTTCGATGAATAGAAATAGTTATTATTTTCTTTCTTTTCCATTCATTTTTATTTCATTCATTAGTTGTTGTTTTTTTTTAACTTCTATTTTCATTACTTTTTTACTTATTTCCTTTCAAATATTTCTTTTTCTTTTCTTCTTTTAAAACATTTATTCATTCTTCTTTTTTAGTTGATTTTGCAAAGATCAATAAAGATTAATAACAGGTTAATAACATTACAAAACCAGTTTTAATGATTATGATATTGCTATTTTGTCTTTTGTTAAATAAACTTTAAACTATTTTATTGCAATGCCTTAAAATGTAAAACTTGCATATAATTGAAATGTAAAACTTGCATTTTAACTTGTAAAAAAAAAAAAATACTTTTACAATATTCTTTTCAGATTTTCTACTTAAGTAACTTCAGCTATGTAATTTTTTAGAGAAAAGATCATTAGACTCACAGAAAAATCATTAAATTCACAGAAAAATCATTAGATTCACAGAAAAATCATTAGATTCACAGAAAAATCATTAGATTCACAGAAAAATCATTAGATTCACAGAAAAATTAATAGATTCAAAGAAAAATCATTAAATTCACAGAAAAATCATTAGATTCACAGAAAAATCATTAGATTCACAGAAAAATATAACAAAATGAAAGGATAAAATACACTAAACTGGAGTTTCAACAAAGCTGGACTACAAAGCTGGACAAAAATGCTGGAAAAAGTTGAAATAAACTGGATTTGAAACAAAGTAGAGTTCTAGACTAAGAATAATAGCTTTGCAAACAAAATGATATATCATGATTGTAACATAAAATGTATTTTGAAATGTGATTCAAGTTCACTTGATCATGATTAAGAGAAAATTCATTTTTCCATGATTGATATTCTGCTGTCTATCAATTTAAAATTGTTTCCGATCTCAAAGTTTTTATATGAATTTCAAAAATTTATATAAATGATTAAAGTTTATCTTGAAAAAACTCGATAGGATTGTAATAAGCATATTTATTTAATTCAAAACTACTTAGAAAAATTCTTTTTCATTTTTCTTTTTAAGTAGATATATTTATATCAAAACTATTTACTACTTGATAAGATTCTTTCTCATTTTTTGTTGAGCAACTTAAAATGTTTGAGACAAAATTGTGCTGTATTTGTGCTTGCTAGTGCATAATTAAGTTAAGCTAAGAAACGTTTTGCTAACACATACACAATACGCATTTTATGAAGAAAATGACGATTTCACCTACAAGTTCAGCAATTTATATTAAGCAAAAAACTTTTTGTAGATTGAAATATTTTTTTTATTTTTATATTGCTTATGTGGTGTTTATTTAGATAAAATTAAAATTAAAAGCCATTAAAATGTAAAAAACATTTTAATGGCTTTTGTAAAACAAATTAATTTTTTTATTAAAAAAAAAACAGATAGTTAACTAAATTTTTTTAATTAGAAAACTTTAAATCAAATATGATTTTAAAAATTTTAATTTAACTTAAAAGAAATGTAAAATGGTCTTGCAATGCTTCTTAAATAAATAACTATTTTCTTATATTTATGATCTAATTAATAACATTATGTCAAGATTTTTTCGAAAGTCTCCATCATAGATTTAAATGTGTAAACCATAATCTCATTCGAAAAAAATTGAATTACTTAGCAAGTTTTTCCCTGATTTTGACACAAATATAAAAGATTATTAAGGATAACCATTCGATCAACAAAGTAAATTTGCAACCGATCAGTTGCTTAGCTTCTTTGCTAAACTTTGTAATTAGACTTTAGACTAATTGTATAAACTGTTAGTTTTATACACTTTGTTTTTTAACCTGTAATTTAGGTGATGAAAAGAATAAATACTTTGTTGTAAGAAAGGAGAAGTGTCTTTGTTTAAGAAAGGGGCTGTCCATAAACGATGTCACACATCTAGGGGAGGGAGGGGGTCCATACTTTTGTGACAATCTGTGACAATGATGGGGGGGGGGGGGAGGGGAGGGGGAGGGGAAATGTGATGTCACAAAAAAATTTAATATAATAAAATATTTTTATAATAATAATAATAATAGTAATAATAATAATATACATATATATATATATATATATATATATATATATATATATATATATATATATATATATATATATATATATATATATATATATAAAATTTACTTTTTAAACAAAATTCTGAACTAATAGAATTTGAAATAATGCAATGAGTTCTTTTGTTAAACTTAATGCACTCAAGCGTTAAGTAGTGACAATTAACATTAAAATTTTTTTACCACAAAACAAAAAACATAACAAATTAAATATAAAAGGTTATAAAAATAACTCCAAAAGATTCTTTTCATAGAATTAACTTCTGCAATATAGATAAAAATAAAATATATCAGCGTCTTTTTGACGCCTACGTTTCAGCATATCCTACAAAGAGCAGAAAGGCCTGTAAAAAAGAACTGATTCAGAAGTGAAATGAAATAAAAGTTGATAAAAATTTTCAAATCAAAGCGGATCATTGGTTGCAAGAACTAAACGCTCTTTCCACAAGCAAAAAAGGAACACTCCTAACATTTTGGGCTAAACAAACATTATCTACTAAAAAAAACCTCAACCATAAATGAGCATAAAAATCTTCTGACTTCAAATTTACAGTTTAATAAAAACGGTACCAGTATTGTTACTGATGGGTTAGAACCTGGACCTAGTACTGCCCGCTCAGAAACATCAAGAATTGCCCCAGCCCAACTGCAATTGCAGACGCAGATTAAAGTTCTGAATTCCGATTTAGTCGGTTTGTACGAGCGACAAAAACATAGAATGCTTTCACTTGAACAAGATGCTGAATTGAATGAAAAGAAAAAGAAAAAAGCCAATTTAGAACAGCAATTGAATAAAAAAAAAAGCTGACCAGAAAAGAGCAAAAAAAGTAAGAGAATTGAAGAGAAGAAAATTTGAATTTTTGTTTGAAGATAATCCAGAACTACACATAAATCTGAATGTCAGAGACAAGTCTGTTAGGCCAAGAATTGAACAAAATCAGCCTTTATTACTTAAAACTATTGTGAACATTGCTATGCATGGATCAGCATCTCATGAAAAACGAAATAGTGATCTATATAGAAGCACCAAAACGTTAGACCAACTGGCTGAACAGTTGAAAATGGATGGCTTCACAATCAGTAGAAGCGCCTCTTACTAAAGCTTAGTTCATCTCTTGAAGGCCAGCGTCATGTATCAACGGTACCAGTAAAATTAATTAGAGCACAGCACGCTAAACATATCGACGGTTTATTTTGTACTGCTACAATAAGGCACTTGGAAGAGTTAGCTTCCATGTTAAGAATGAAAGAAGTGTGTTTTTTGAGTCAAGATGACAAAGCTCGTGTTCCAATTGGGTTAACTGCCAAAAAACAAAGTTCATTACTGATGCACGTCGAGTACAGAGTCAGCTTACCTGACCATGATTGGGTGGTAGCTGCAGGGCACAAATTAATTCCATCGGTGTATGCTGGAATCTTAATTTAGCCAAATGCTCTTGGAAACCGAGAAGCAGTAGGATATTCTGGACCAACCTATCTAGCAATCAGATCAGGTAAACACTCAAAATCAACAGCATTCAGCCATGGACTTGATTTTCAAAGATTGCTTACACTCAAAGAGTTTGACATCATTACTAGAAGTGGTATTGATCATTTCGTTAAACTAATTTTAGTTTTGACTGTTGATGGTGGCCCTGATGAAAACCCAAGATACCAAAAAGTAATAAAGGTTGCAGTGCACCACTTTATTCAGCATGATTTTGATGCTTTATTTCTTGTTACAAACGCTCATGGAAGAAGTGCATTTAATAGAGTTGAAAAAAAAATGGCACCACTTAGTAAGGAACTTGCTGGATTAATATTACCATATGACCACTATGGTAGCCATCTGAACGAGAGAGGTGTTACAATTGATGTCAATTTAGAGAAGACAAACTTTAAGTTTGCAGGGACCACACTTGCTGAACTTTGGCAGGCTTGCTTATTGATAATTTCCCAACAGTGGCAGAGTACATCAAGTCCACAGAGTCTGAATTTCAAAAACAACTCCTCTTGTCAAGGGATCAGAAATGATATTCATATACGAACGAGCCAATATCTTATGCAGATTGTAAAATGTAATGACAATAAGTGCTGTTTGAAACCAAGAAGTTCCTATTTTAGTGTGATAATAGAAAGGTTCCTTTCTTGTCCATTGCCAGTTGTTCAAACAAGCGAAGGTCTTAAAGTTCCACAACGAACAATGGACCCAGCATGCCATCAATTTCCATCTCTGTTTGCAGCACAAAGTTTAAAAATTGACAACATCCTTCCTCGCTCTTCAAATCCGTGTCGGTCAATTCCATATGACTTGTACTGTCCAACACTGCAATCCGTGATTAGTGATAGAATCTGCAAGAAATGTCACCAGTACTTTGCATCAATAGTCATGCTGCGCAGTCATAGTGTAACACACATCCAAGAATCGAAAAGAAGTCATTGCATGTCGACAGCAAGAAATAATGGTTCTGATCGCTAATGTAGAAAACGGTGAAAGTGCTGATTGGATTGATGAAGAGGATCTTGATTTAAATGGAATGACTTTTCCCAAGGATACTAATGTCAACGCTCTGCTAGTTTATTCCATGAAGGAACATTTTTATTCACCATGGGAAAATAATTTTTGGTAATTTTTAATTTCAGCAATGTTTCATGTTTTATTTGTTAGAATTGGATCAAATAAGATCCAATTACTTTAAATATTTAAGTGTGTTAAAAATATTTAAAGTTGTATTTATTTGTTAAAACCATTTTAAAGTTCATTATATTCAATTATTTCATTTAAAATGCAAAATATATGCGAAATAATAGTTTGTTTATAAGAGTAAGATAAAAAAAGTTACAATTACTATTATAATAAACTACTATTATAATAAACTACAATTGAAGGTTTTGAAAATAATATACCTTTATAATTATAAAATTTTGTAAATCACTAGTGAATAATTGATAATAATTTAATAATGATAAGGATAATAATAATTTCCTTTATTATCGCTGCCCTTTGTAATTTTCCCATTAAACATACATACATGCAATTTTGAAAAACATTTTATATTTAACAATCGGAATAATGCTATATCTATGCAAGAGGAGGAGGGGGAAGGGTCAGTTTTTTGTGATGTAATATTCTAGGGGGAGTCAAAACATTTGTGGCGTCTTGTGACGGGGAGGAGGGAGAGGGTCAAAAATTGTGATAAATTGTGTGATGTCGTTTATGGACAGCCCCAAAGGAGAAGCGTTTTTGCTTTAAGAAAGGAGAAGTGTTTTTGTTTAAGATAACTTTTTTCAATAATGAAATTAAGACTATTAACTTCTTATTAATTTAGAATGTCACTCGTATGACAAGTTTTATTTAAGAAAATAACATTTACAAATATTTTACTAGCAACTGATACAATATACCTACAAATTAGTTACAAATTAAAAATAGTTCATTAAAAACATAAAAATAAAAATAAAAACTAAATTGTGATAAAATAAACAAAAGATGATTATGTTATGTATAAAGTAATTTTTTTTATAGTTATTGTTTAAAAGATTGTTATATATTCTAAAATTAAACTTACAATGTACTTTCACAATGGGTAAAACTTAGTAGGTAAAAGACTTGTTTTAGAAAATTTAAACACATCTTGTGCCTATTGGGTTAAATTACAATAACCAATCAATTTAATTTTGAATAATACAAAAATCATTTTTGCATGTAAATATAAGTAAGCAACACCACTATAATTATAGTTAAAAAACATAATGTACGGTTAACAAAAATGACAACTTCTTTTACATGTTAATATGCTTTTTTTTGGGCACCCACACGGTCAAATGATTTAGGTTTACGTCTAGGTACAATATAGCTGAAACAGCATGAAAGTTTAAATAAACTTCATTAACTAAAATATTTACAAGAGACAAGTCTCTCTGTTAGCTTTATGTGTACTATTTTGGTGAACAGGTTCGAGATATAAAATTTCATCAGATGGGAGGTTGCCACGAAGCAAGGTTTATGGCAGATGCAATTTATTTGTTTATAGTACAAATGACAAATGACATCTCAATCATCATGAATGAAAAGGGATGGTTCAGACAGCTTACTTATTTTTATCTTTGACATACTACCTGTAGTTCTTGAAATGCTTTCTGGGTAATAAAGCTGATTTGTGATTTAAGTAAAGAATATCATGAGCCTAATTAATCATAACTGAAAAGCATTATGTTATTAAGTCAACAGCTTTTAAAGTCACCACCTTTTCTAAAAAATTTTAAAAAATTATTAATTTATAAATTATCCAATTATCAAATTACCTTTCTCTTTTTTCTGTGATTGATATTCATCTTTTTCTATGGCCCAATCAACAACAACAGGTCTTCCTTTAATTTCCTTTAAATTCATCTTTTCCATTGCTATTTTGGCATTAATTTCATTGTCAAACTGAACAAAAGCGCATCCAATTTTAAGTGACTTATTATTAACAGTTTTGGTTGGAATTTTAATGTCAATAATTTTACCAAAGACTGAGAAAGAATCACGAATATCCTGTTCCTCACATTTAAAACTTAAGTTTCTAATAATTAGTCGAGATTTCTGTTGAACTTTTTTAGAAGGAAATTTCCCTTCCTTTGTAAGCAAAACAGCAGATAATGTATTTGATTTTTTTACTTTTTGACCTTTGATTTTTTGAACTGCACGTATGGTAGACTTGAAATCTTTGAAACGCACAAAAGCGGTTACTTCTGCTCTATCTGAAACTGGGTAAACTATATTTTCAATCTCTCCAAATTGTTCACATAGTATGCGAATGTTTTTTCTTTTTACCTTTGCAGTTAATCCGGAAATAACCAATGTACGTTGCAGATCGGATTTTGGTTTTTGATTTTCTGTGTTTTGCAAATTAGGATCACTTATACTTTTTGTAAGCTTTTCTTTTATACATTTGGTTTTCTCATCACTGCTAGATTTAACGTTTTGAATATTTTCATCTATGATTGGTATACTTTTTTTGAATTTGATATTCTTATTTGGTTGGCTGCTAAAACTTGCTTTTTGATCCTTTTGTATATTTTCTTCATTTGACAAATTTTTATTTTCTAAAAAAGCATTTGAAACTATTAAATTAAATAATTAAATTGCGTAATTCAACTTAAAATTATTGTTTAATTTTTACAATTAAAAATACTTAAATGCTTCCTGGTTGACAACACTCACTAAAATAAATATTATATTGACATACATACACACATACATAAATTCATACATTTATACATTCATACAAAAATACAGGCTTCACCAGGAGTAAAAAAAAAGACTTTGCGTTTCTAATTTGAAAAGTTTAAAAATTGCACTGAAATACCTCCAGGCAAGAGTAACTATAGGAAAAGTTTCAGAAATCAAAACTTAAATGAATGAGTTTGATACTTTTAAAATTGCTTTTGTGTTGCGCAAATTAAATTTAAACGAACAAATTTTAAAACAGTTTATAAAAAAAGATTTAATTTTAATTTAATAAAATTGAGTTGTAGCATTATTATTTTTCGCTTTGACTAATTCTTATTTTACATGTTAAAATCTCAATTACTGCATATAAAATAATTCTTTTGTTTTTAGAATAAATAGTTAGAGGAGCATAAACTTTATATTTAATTTTCTAAAAATTATCAATTGAAAATTAAAAACCAAAAAATTTAAATAGCCTTTTAAAAACTATTCAAGATTAATATTTTGTTAATGTTTCTTTGTTTTTTTTTATCTACAGTTTTTACTTATTAAAGCTATATATTTTTTAATTTACAATTTTTACTTATTAAAGCTATATTTTTACTTTTTATTTTATTTTAAAAATGCTAGACGCCAAGCGCATTAAAAATTGCTTTCAGCTATCAACATAAAAAAAAATTAATTAATTTAAGAAAACATTAATAAATTTTGCTGTTTTAAAAAATATAAATGTATTTTGAACAGGCTTTATTTCACCCATGTAAACAGACTTAAACAAGTGTGGAGG